TGTATACCCGGAGGTAATGCTGATGAACCCACATATGCTGCTTGCATGCTGACGCCCGCAGAGGATTTGGAATTTACAATTGCCTCCTGCCAGAACACATTACGTCAGTCAAAGACAGCTGCTCCCCCCTGGTGCCACAGCCCAGCACACGCAGGGGCTGGGCAGCTCATCAAAGCGCAGGCGCGCAGCGTACGCAACAAGTCTGTGCTGTATGCCATTGTGGGCGCAAACGCATTGCGTAATGTCCCTGTCGGCGTAACGCCGTGTGCACCCCAATTCCGCATGGCAGCGGCCGCGATTTCCAGACCCACGCAGGGAGTGGGGGTCGGTGATTTCGCATGTTCTCGGTGCCGTGCGCGGTTTAAAGGGCATGCGCAGCGCAGCTCCCCTGTGCGATCCCCCTGCTCCATGCAGCGCAATTGAGGCTGCCTGCTGTGGAGAGACGTTTGCGCACGCAATGTCGAAAGGGCCCGAACGCTAGATCTGTCTAGTGGTGGTGCTGTTCACTCACATGCAAGAAAGGGTTTTTAAGGGCGGGCCCCCGAGCCGCACACGCCAAGGTGACCCACAAGCAACACAACCGGGAGGAGACAGGTGTCCAAAAGGCGCCACTGCTCCTACCAAGAGAGTGTTCTGCGCGCCAGCCAGCGGCGGCGCAGCGCTCAAAGCCGGCACATGAGGCAGACGCTGGTCGAAAGAGGCCCGTTGCTCATAGAATGGGGCCTAAACCACGCATGGACGCAAGAATGAAAGTAACAGAACGCCCCCTGTGGCCCCAACGGGACCGCTGCCCACCCGGAGTGTGGGCCTCATCACAGTGTTTGCGCGTGCGGCGCGATGCGGCCCGGCCGACACCGGCCCCGCCGAAGGCCTCCACCATTCTCGGGCACACAAGCACCGGTCGCATGTGACCGCTGCTACCCAAGCCGTTGCCCATGCGCTTCCATGCCGTCGCGACCGTCGGCCGAGCGGACTCTGCGGCGCGGCTGCCCCCGGCTGCGCCTGCAAAGCCGCCGCTTCTTGGCGGCGGCGCCCGCTCACACGCCCTCCCACCAGCGCTGGCCAGCGGCGTCGGGCGTGCCCTTGACCTTCAGCGCCATCGTCTGGATGAACCCGTTGCCCTGCTGGCACTTGGCCATGTTGATGTCGAAGTTGACCAGCCCCGCCAGCGCCGCGGAGAAGCCGGCCGTGTTGAGCAGGTTCACGCTGTTGGCCGGGTTGTTCATGTCGCGGTCGTCGCTCCAGGTGTCGTCGTCGTCGGGACCGCCCACCAGCGCGCCGCGCAGCGGGTTGTAGTTGGGGTCGGTGGTGTAGTAGGCCGACTCCCAGGTGCAGTCGGCCACGTCCGGCGGCGGGCACGAGGCGGCCTTGTGGGGCGTCTTCTGCGGGGAGATCGCGCCGTAGCCGGTGACGTACGAGCGGCCGGCGTCGCCGAGCATGTAGCCGATCTGGTTACGGGACCAGCAGGCGTAAAGCATGAACTTGCTGTCCAGGATGTCCTTCGCCGCGGAGAGCACGTAGAACGCGGCGTTGGCCGTGTGCTGCAGCGTGCCGTAGGGGTAGGCCTTTGCGAGGTACTTCTTGGTGTAGTAGATGTCCCCCGTGCTGGACTTGGTGTTCATCCAGGTCTTAACGAAGCTGTTGACGTTGTCCTTGAAGAACTTCTGCTCCGGCGTGCCCTTGAGCGCCTTGGCCAGCAGCAGGTCGAGCGCGGGCACCACGTTCTCGTAGTTGAACATGAAGGGGTTGGGGTTGACGTGGCTCTCGCTGCTGGTGGTCTGGTCGTACAGCACCAGCGCGTCGTTGAGGTAGTTCTCGTCACCGGTGGCCCAGTAGATCCAGACCGCCGCGTACGCCATGTCGTCGTACATGGAGACCGAGGGGTAGGTCTTGCCGCTTTCGACGTACTTGGCGTAGTAGCCGCGCCACCGCTGGGCCTGTTGGTGTGGGGGTGGAAGGGGGAGGGTATGGCAGGTGGTGCATGGGTTGAGCGGTGTTCAACAAGGGGCAGATCGTTTTGAGCTGCTGCCTGCTGCTGCTGCCAGGACCCTGGTCACGCCTTAGCCAACAGTGGTCAAACGCAGCGGATGCCTTGCACACAGGCAGCCCGGGCAGGCCAGCGCACTCAACCTTGAACCCTGAAAGCGGGTGCAGACAGAGTATTTGAAGGAGCCCCATCCAACAGCTGCCACAGAACACAAGCACCCACCAGTGCGTAGAGCGAGATGGCTTTCTGCAGGTAGACGTCCGCCACCTGCAGCGACTCGTCCTGGATGGCCACGGCTGCAGACGCCAGCGCAGCAGACACCATGGCGACGGCGTCGCCGCCGGGGCGGGCTGCAGAGAGGTATGTGGCGGGGCGCGCGCCCATGTACTTCTCGGGAGAGCCCCAGTAGGCACGGTCCTTGGTCATGTCCCCCACCTGCGAGGCGGGCGGAATTGAGGGTTGGCGCACATGTCAGGTTGGAGAGGGTCAGACAAAGGAGCGAGAATGAGGGGGGAGGGGCGCGAGGCGACTTGAGGTGTGCAGAGCAGGCCGCTGGAGGGCAGGGCAACCGCAGTGCGAAGAGCATGTGCAGCCGGCAACGCGTGGGCTGCTCATGCTGCCCTGGCTGCAAGCGCTGCCCCCCGCGGCCACAGTGATGCGCGCAGCACAAGAGGCGCCCTATCAAGCCGGCCGCAACGCCCACCTGAGCCACGACAATGGGCTGCATGGCGGCGCCGTTTGCCGAGATGTTGGTGACCGAGGCCTTCATGAGGTAGTCCGCGCCCCAGCGGATGGTGTTGGCGCCAAACTCTGAGTTGCCCCCGACCTTGTAGCCCTGCTTAAACTCCCAGTAGGCCCAGGACAGCATGGAGGTGGTGAAGGCCGTGGTGTAGGAGAGCTTGAGCATGCCGCCGTCGTCATACCTAAGGTGGTGACGGGGTAAAACAGGGGCGGTGCGCAGGGTGCAGACGTCTGCAGTGGGGGTGTATTGACCAGGTTTGACCAGCATTAATTGCACACACCACGAGCCGCCAACCATTTCCTCCTGCCAGCAACTGCCAAGCTGCAGCAGCCTGCCTTTGCTCCCAACCTCCCTGCCAATCCCGCCGCGCACCAGCCACCGAGCAGCGAGTAGTTCTTGCCGTTGGGCAGCAGCACCGAGTCCCACAGCCCGCTGTTCCCGCGCCACGGCGTGTTGCTGATTCGCGGCACCTTGCCCGAGCGCTGCGCCTCGAAGAACTGCAGCGACACGTTGAGCACCTGGCTCATGTTGTAGTCGTCGGGCACGAGCCAGGTGCAGAGGATGCCGGCAATGGCCACGAGGTAAGAGAGGGTGAGGGTGAAGCTGCAGAAGTCCTCAAAGAGGTGGCCCTTCTGGTAGCAGTAGAAGATGAACAGGCTGGGCGGGATCATGTTGTAGACGGCCCAGAACACCGAGAGCATCAGGTAGAACTTGAAGTCCCCCTGGGCGGTGAACGGCTTGTCAATGATCTGGAACAGCCCCACCACCGCGGTGATGAACGAGAAGAAGAACGACGCGACTAGGACCCAGGCATCGAGCGTGCCCTCCATGTCGCCGACGTTGGCCGGCGGGCGGCACCAGCGGCGCGCGGCCTTGCCGTCGCCGCGGCCGTCCTCCTCGCCCTTCTTCTTGGTGGACTTGAACACGACCTTCTTCTTGGTGACCTTCTTGGCCAGCACGTTGAGCAGCGCCTTGGTGAACGTGAACCACAGGAGGTGGCACGACACGATGCAGAACCACAGCGGCTTGATGTGCTTCCGGTTGGTGCAGTATGACGTCACCAGCGTGCTGGCCGAGAAGTAGAGGGTGGCCGCCAGGGCAAAGTCGCGGTTGAGCACCAGGGGGTAGACACCAAACACGAGGGCGATGAAGGGCACGAAGACCGCGCAGGGCACCGCAAAGGTGTTGGTGATGTAGGACCAGGTGACCGAGGTGTACAGCAGGCGCATGCCCATGGTGAGGCCCGTGTCAAACAGGGGGCACGCCTTGCTGAACAGCACCTAGGGTGGGCAGTGTGGTGGGGAGGGGAGCATGCATTGGCGGTGGGCGTCGGCATGGATGCGGGTGCGGGGCGACAAAGCTCATGCCTCAACCAGGTCAGCCCAGCCGCGCTGACGCCCCGGGACGCAGGTCTTCTAAACCCAAAACCCGCCCGCCTGCACGCTTGCCCTGGTGCGGCCCCTCACCTGCATCTGGCCCTTGCACCAGCGCGAGCGCTGGCGGAAGATGTTGCGGATCTCCTCTGGCGCCTCCCCAATGGCGAGGTACTCGTTCAGGTAGCCGGCCTTGTAGTGCTGTGGTGGCACGGGGCAGGGGTTTCGGCAGCAGCAGGGTCGGGGGATTAGGCCAGACGAGAGGCGAGCTGGGAGTCGATCGGCACTGACCACTTGGGTGCTGATGCGAAGCGCAGTGTGGCGTGGTGACTCGGCGGGCCATCTGCACAGCTACACATCCATACAGGCATGCACACGACACCCCTACAGTCACCCACCCCTGGGCGGACATAGGGCCCGTTGGCCTGTTGTAATTGACAATACATCCTCACACATGACAATGTCAGCAGCAAAAGCAATGCCTGCAACATACACACATATACACACACGCACACCACACCAAACGTGCGTGCATTCGCACCTTGGCCTTGAGGATCATCCCCAGGGCGTAGTCCTCAGTGATGGTCCAGGTGGGGAAGAACCCGCAGTCTGCCAGCGGCGCGCAGCGCAGGCAGAAGTTGGTGCCCGTGCACGCGATGTAGCCGAGGGCGTCTGTCCCGGGCAGCATGTACTCCCAGAAAGACAGGTTGAGGTTGTTGAAGATGTCGG